AGGAAATATTGTGAGAGAATGATCTCTATTTATAGAAGAGAGTTTCTAGTTTCATTCTGACATTGACACGTGTCGTGTTGTGATTGACTTCTGATGTTGACACGTGTCGCGCTATGGTTGGCTTCTGATGTCAACACTGTCGCGCTGTGATTGGCTTCTTGGTTGGAGGGAAACTCTTCTGGGTCCTTGACGGTATAACGTTGATTGGTGCTCAGTAGTTTCGGGATTGGTCAAGTATGGTACAAACAGTATTAAATTTTCTAACTAAGTGAGTTGAACCACTTAGAATATGACATTTTATTATTTTATTGATTTTCTAGCCAAAATAAAAGTACAAACTGAAACTGTAAGGTAAAGGAAGATGCTAGAGACTCAGTTCACTATTTGCGTTTACATATATTGATGTGCATGTACCATGTGTACCATGTGCGCAAGCAAAATCAACAACGTTAATTCTGTATCAGGTTCCTTCACCCAAAAGATAGTTTCGTTGCAATATGAGTTCACTTTATTCGAGTTCTTACTAAGATGGAAAGTGGAGATAAATATATACCCTAGCAAGATAAGACACATGCATTTGGTGGTTAAAATTGACTTTTGGGTTAATTTGCTTCAAGTATGAATCTCTTTAAGCATAAAATAGTCACAATTTGGTGGTTTATACATTTATACATGTATGACGTAAGTACACAAGGATGGAGCCAATGAAGGCTTACTGGGGCCCCCCAGTAAAAGAAATTTCTAGCTCTGTACATTCTAGCTTCTTTTATTAATTTTAGTCGCCATTTCATCGACGGTTTGGTCTCCCTATCATTCTTTGTCAACCCTATTTTCATATTGGTTATAAGCCATACTATAATAAGGTTTTCTTAATTGATTTTCGGGTCCCCCCCCCCACTAAAAGAAATTTCTAGCTCTGTACATTCTAGCTTCTTTTATTAATTTTAGTCGCCATTTCATCGACGGTTTGGTCTCCCTATCATTCTTTGTCAAGCTGATGAGTCGATATTAGTCTATATTTTTATCCTATTTTTGGCTCATCTCCAAGAATTGGTTAAAACCTAAAATTTAGGTTTTAAACTAACTCAATCATTCTCCAATGGTTGGGCCTAAAATAAGTTTTGAGTTAAAATCTAAAATTTGGACAAATTTAATGCAGAATTCCAGCCAGGGTTAAAATGCTGACCCACCTTATGTGCGTGGATGCGCCTAGAAAAGTGAAGACCGCAGCAAGGAGATGCACCCAATGTGCGAGACGCGACAGGGCTGACAGGAAATGGGGCATGCCCCTAACGAGTATGTTAGCCACTCAAAATGAGCCCAACGACTCTTTTTCAATCTGACGGTTGTAATTATTGGACCATTGGTTGATCTAATGGTCTAGATGCAAACATATTTACTTTTAAATTTTAAAATTTTAAATACATTAAATCCAATGGCTAAAGTCGAATATGATCAAATCTAACAATTCAAAAAAAATCTAACGGCCCAAAATTAAATTAAAGGGCTAAAACAATTTAATAAATTTATTTAATTCAAAATTAAACCTAAAAATTCACCCAAAAAATTATTTTCAAGGGGTCAGTTTAGTAAATTTACAACTTTGATTGAAATTTAAATATTTTTTTAGGTTGAAATATTCATAAAAATAAATCATGATAATCTACATAAATTTTATTTTTTTAAAAAGTGTTACCATAATAGATTTATTATAAATTTAATTCTAAAATTTTAACTCAAACCTTAAATTTAGGTTTTAACCCAAGGGTTGGAGATGGTATTGGTATTAATTTATTGTTTATTTTGTGAGAACTATACTTTGGATTATATTTCTATTGTAGGACATGCGAATCTAATCTAAGGAAAGAGTAATCAAACATATGAAGTTTTGAGTAATTTCAATTAGAGCAGGTCCATGCTGTTTAACTGTGGTGAAGAAATAAGTACTCATTACACAACTTTCCCAGATTGATGTTTTTGGACGTTTTGGATATTTTGATGGTCAAGATGTCATTTTTAGAGGAAGGTTCTTTCGGAGGGTTTGAAGAGGACGTGTTAAGCTTTAAAAATAGACATTTTAGGACCAAATCAGAGCTGATTTGGTCAGTCAAAAAAGGGATTTTCTTTGTAGTCTGAATTTTAGTTTGAACAGGGAACCTTTATTTATTATTTTATTATTAATTAGATTTCCAATTGGGAGACTTTGGATACGGTCCTTAGTTATGAATATTCTTTGATTAAAACCTTGTTGGTTTTTAATTTTTGATTGAGGTCCCTGAAATTAATGTGATAATTTATTTCTATGTACGTTACTATATTTTTTAATTTAAAATTAGAAATTTTAGTTGTTTATATAAATGAGATTTTAAATAAAAAAACCATAATTTGTGGGATTAAAAATATTAAAATATAAATATACTATTGTGTGTGTGTGTATATATATATAAACATGGGTACATTCATCAAAATTAACCAAAAAATTTATTGTATCAAAACATGGGCACATTTTTCAAAATCACAGAAAAAAAGAAGATATTAGGCTTAATAACATTAGTAAATTTCTTCGATTAAACTTGACATGGATACATTTTAAAATCAAAGAAAAAAGAATGTACCCATATAAGTTTAAAAATGGATTACAAAAAAATTGAATAGATTTTATATATAAAAAAAAGATGGTGCATTTTACATATAACAAATTGGTATATTTAAGAATGAGTACATTTTAAGATTAAAAAGTTTTACATGAATGGGTACATATAATTAGCATGGGTACATTTAGCAAAATAAAAAGTACAAATGAAAAAAAAATATGGGTACAAAGACAAATAAACTTTAAAAAATATGGGCACAAAAAGAAATTAATATATGGGTATAAATTAAAACTGAAAAGAAAATTGGTACAAGTTAAAAAAGAATTACAAATTAAAAAGGGTACAAACTAAAACTAAAAATATATGATAAAAATTTAGTCATAAATATAAATATACTAATTGTAACATTTTTAACATTAAATGAATATATTTAGAAACAAAAAAAATATTTTATTATTGAAATAATTAATGTTATAAATACCCAAGGACCTTGATAAAAAATTGAGAAGGAATAAGATTTTAATCGATGGAGTAGTAAAATGAAGGATGAGAACCTAATTTCTCCTTTCCAATTTATTAGAAGACCTTCTTTAAGTAGGATAAGAAATAAAGCACTATATAAATACTGTAGCCGTGTATTAGTGTTCTTGACGTACTACTTTGGAGAACTCGGCCTAGAAAGCTTTTATGATTCAACCTTATTTTAAAAGGTATTTTCTATCCATGTTTCTAATAACATTTTGCTTTTTAATTATAAATATGCGTAATTAATTCCTTTTGCTAGGTGAAGGCCACGAGCCTTGGCATGAATATGTAATCTTTACGGAATTGCTTATGATTATGCATGCATGCTTTGAATTATTAATCATTGTATTTAAACTATCTATATGTTCTGATGAGTGGCTACCATTAAAATGTCTAGACAAGTAATTGGATGCAATTCTGTTGGAATGTCACCTTAGAGTTGATTAGGACTTCTATTGATTGATAATTGTAATTTCACTAAAGAATTTTAAGGGTTGCAGAGTTTTTCAAAAGGTTTTCACAACAGCTTAATGAGTCTTGCATGTTCATGTTTGATTTGAATATCATAGAATGATTACATGTTAAATATATGTTCTTGCTTGAATATCTCAAGGAGAATATGCATTGAAAACCTGACCTTCAAAACATACATCTGATACTTTCATAAGTAATTGGTAGAATTGCATAAGATTGTTAATGGTGATGGCTATACCCTAGTCTTTTCCATGATTTTCTTAAAAACTATTTTAATTTCCTTGTTGCCGAATTATTGTTTTCTTAAATTTAAATTGTTTTGTTTTGGTTTTAATCTTCACAATCTCAAGTTTTTTCTACAAAAATCTATTTCAAATAATTAATTCAGTATTAGTTTAAATACAAATTATTTATATCAATTCTTGTGGAGAACGACCTTACTTGAATCGTTTATACTACAATTACTTTGTTCTCTTGCAAGTATTTTTAAATGTTTTTATTGCAGATGGTAAAAATCCTACCACAAGCCATGTTGCACGCATGTTGACAGATGTTGAGTGTTGCGAGAGATCTTGTAGAGTTTTGTCAAATGACTCGACAAAGTTTGGTCGAGGGATATCAACGTGTCCTGCGAAGTGTTACTGAGAATTAAACACTTAGTGGGCACAAATTGGTCTCGAACCAGACATTCAAAGGATCCCTGAAGGACCTTCATTAGCTTTTTTTCCCCAACCTTTGGAGGGTCCGAGACACCACCAGGTCTCTATGTGGATCTGTCCATGTATAACGCATTGTATATTTATTCGCAATATACTCAAAATTACTATCCTTAACTTGTGTATATTACCACAAGACCGTGCTACAATCACACAGTACCCTTATCGCTAAATCGTGCAGAGTATACGTACCTCTAAGTACTATTAGGGGCCCTGATCGTGCACGATTAAGTCAACACCTTTGCTAAACTACCGACAGGGAGCATAACTCATCAGAAGAAATCTAGGTTACTCACCAAAGACAGATTACCATGTACAGTACTTGAGCAAGGACCAGAGATGTCATATCTGGAGAAAAAGATCTGTACGACTCATGTGCTTTAAGAACAATACATTACATGTAATATATTCTTATTACTTAAACGAAGAGCCGCATCAATAGAAAGCAGATTTAACATATGCACTTCTTTAGCCATTCTTAGAGAGTATCTCACAGTGATGGTCTAGCATTGAATTAGAGCCTCACAGTTGTTTGGAACCCGATTTTCTTTCAATAATATAAATATATTCTTTGAGTTCCACTTTTGCTTTATCTGAAAAATGAAAATATTGCATGTGTGCCCTCCTCCTTATACAAAAACCTTCACTAGGTCGCAAAGGTAATGCTCAATAGAACAAATTCTTCCGTCTATTATATATATTGGCTGCATGCATACATATTTTTCAAAGCTAAAACCCAATATTGCTTTCATTAGCCTTGACTTGTGTGAAAGTTGTTTAGGGTTTAGCAAATATAAATCTAACTTTTGTGGATCTGCTTATACGTGAATGCTGATGGCCATGACGAGAGGCGGGGTGGCAAAATCGAAGATGTTTATGCTTAGGTAATGTTTCCATTATGAATTAGATAAATTGATCCTTCCAGTCCATAGTTATCGACAGTAAAAGTTGTTTCATTTGAACCATCTTAACTGGGATATCAAGTCTACCATCTTTTCTAATGGAAGTGAGATCGCCATAACCTCTACTAGAAAGACTATACTAGATGGTAAGTTGAGATGATATAATAATAGTTTTATTAAGAGGGTTAATATATGCATGCATGCCGCAGTTCATATTACAGGGAAGCTAAGCACGCGCAAGGAGATCATCGACGCCATTTCAGTAGCAAGCTGAGGGGAGCTCCAGAAAACATATCAAGCAGAATGGTTGAGAGTGATAGTGAGGATACTGACATGATGGAAAGTGAGACTGGCAGTAATAGTTCATCTTCATGGAGGTGCAACTGGGTTCCACATCCAAGAACAGGAATATACGTTCCGAAAGGGCATGAAAAGGTCATGGATGATGTGCCTAAGGGAGCTGCTTCTCTTAACCAGACCTTCTGGCTCAGGAACGTCGACGGAGTACTTGAGAAACCCGACCCGGATACTCCTCCTGAGCATTACTATCACTACAAGCATATGTAATGTGACAAATGGAACGTGAATCAATTCATTGTGATCGCGATCATCGTTAAGGTAATAAAAATTAGTATTAGGGTTATTCTGAATAATATATGGCCACATATGCTGTGGCCAGATGTATATATAGAAGCAGTAGTATAGGCTGTATAGCAGTGTAATTATTAAGCTTGTGCCCCTTAGTAATTTGGCTGCATCATGGTGTTAGTCATTTGTAATTAAGGTATATATAATACATTATATATAAAATTATGTTTACACATACACAATGGGTTTTTAAGTCGAGTGTTAGGTCAATAAGTGTTCCATAGATATTTCTATAAATGTAGTCATCGACTCATCGTACAGAATTTCTTTCACATGCGTGCTACGAAAAATGGAGCATACAACCTTCGTAGCGTAGCTTAAGCTTATTTTGTGTGATAGGTAGTGTTGTTCTGCAAATACTCGTACATATTTAAGAGAAATTTTATTAAACCCAATCTTTTTATGATTCTTTATACTTAATTTAAAATTTTCTCCTCCAAACTCTCAAAATTTTGCCTTATTAAATAAAAAGATAAAAATAAAGATTGGTGTTTTTACACTCATTAACCCACAACACCATTGCACACCTCCATTATTTTTGGCCAACTGTAGAACTGTGTGTTTTCATTCGTTGACTTAATGCAAAAATAAGTACAAGTGATAAGATTTTTATCACCTGTGAAAATAGAATTAAAAATACCTAAAATACTTGTAAAAAAACACCTGAAATACTTGTAAACAAACAAGGTAATTGTACTATATACAACTCAAACAAGTTCGTTATCCACAAGAATTGATATAAATAATTTATGTTTATATATAGAAAGTTTGGAATTGTGAATTTAAATAACAAAAACATGTAATAAAAATAATTAAATTAACACTAATAAAAATCGGCAGCAAGTAAGCAAACAGATTTGTAAATCAAACTTAAAATCACATTTCACAAATCGAGTTCCTTATCTTGGTGCCGAGAAACTCACAGGTAACAGGTACGGTCATCCCCTTCTCTCTTCGATCGATGTTGTCTTCAACAATTAGGTTAGCGACAAATGGATGAAATTGGTCTCATGCATGTGCTTTATGTATGTAAGGTCCTCGATGGCAGAAAGGGGAACGAAATGGTGGCTCTGACCTCAGATTTGACGAACAACATGTTGAAAAATAAATTGCTTACTAATTTCTTGTTAGTAAATGATTTACTTAGTAAATTCTTATTTGTTTTTTGTGAAACTGTTTTCTGTTGAGATAGCTTGAGCTCATATGCCAAGTGTAGGGTCCTAGATCAATTTTCATTTTCAATGGCTCACATGCCTTGTAACTGCCATGTGTCATAATCACAATGGTTTATGTATTTGAATGGTGATGATGACTGATGTAAGGAATGAATGAATATATGAAAGTGGAGCATCATTTTGCAACGGTTATAATGTTGCAGTTGTGAATATTCCTCTCTCTCTCTCTCTCACTCACTCTCTCTCTCTCTCTCTAGCTGCTTCCTTCTATTCTTCTTGCTCTTCGAAATCCAAGTGTTCATCAATGAAAGATTACTCAAATCTCAACATGGTATCACGAGCCTAGGTTCTATATGGAATTAGGGCGTCAGATCTATGAGTGCTGTGCTCTGAAATCTAACGTGAAATTTCTGACTCAGTTCATCCATTCAGGTCTCAAATGGCTGGGTCAGGTAGTAGTGATCTTCGGGCTCCAATATTCAATGGTGACAACTATGAATTTTGAAAGATCTGAATGAGAACTATTTTCAAATCACATGGAATCTGGGATTTAGTTGAAAAAGGTCTTGAAATTCCAGAATCGAAGGGGAAGAAGGTCGAAGTGGAAGGGTCATCGGATTCAGAGAGAGCATATATGAACGAAAAGCTAATGAAAGATGTTAAGGCACTGGGTATCATCCAAGGAGCTGTCTTGGATGACATTTTTTCCAAAATCTCAAACGAAGAGACCTCAAAGGATGCTTGGGATATTCTACACCAGGAATTTTATGGCGATAAGCAAATGAGATCCATTAAGTTGCAGGGTCTATGCCGTGATTTTGAGTACACAAGGATAAGGGATGATGAAACCTTGTCTGTGTATCTCACTCGTCTTCTCGAGTTGGTGAATTAGATGAAGGGTTACGGGGAAGATTTACCCAGAGAGCGATTAGTTTAAAAATTGCACATAAGCTTAACTAAGGAATTTGATCCTGTTTGTTATGTGATTGAACAAACTAAGGACATTGAAACTATTTAGGTACAAGAAGTAATTGCAGCGTTAAGAGGATTTGCACAGTGCCTTGATAGACATGCTGGGAGTACCACTGAGAGAGCATTCAGTAGTATGAGTGTGAGTCCAGATAGAGCTTTCAGTAGTATGAATGTGAATCCAAAGGGAACTCAGCCAAATTCCTCTTGTGGTAATTCTAAACCAAAGAAGAATTGGAAATCGAAGGGAAAGAAATGGGACTCTAAAGCTCAGAATCTTGCTAACCAAGGTGGCAAATATGATCAGGGAGGAAAATCTGACCAATCTAAGGGAAAATGCAAGCATTGTGATAAGTTTCACTATGGTGAGTGTTGGTTTAAAGGGAAGCTAAAATGCCATGGATGCAATCAATTTAGTCACCTTATCAAGGATTATGATCAACCAAACAAGGCTGAAAAGCTTGTAAACTTTGCAAATCAGGTAACAGAATCTGCAACCATGTTTTATGTCTGTCATTCTACTACTATTGGAAGGAATATGAATATATGGTGTGTAGACAGTGCATGTAGCAATCATATAACCTCTCATGAATCTTTGCTTATTGATGTTGATAAGAATGTGAAGTGTAGAGTTAAAATGGGCATTGGAGATTTAGTACAGTCAAAAGGCAAAGGCACATTGGTTATAGAGATGAAGGGTGTGACTAGGTATATCAAAGAGGTTAGAGCAACTCCACCATGGAGCCCTCCCCTTGGCAATCCACTATTGAATTCACCCTATTGAACAGTAACTGCCTTTAATGAATAGTAACTACCCTTAATGAACAGTAATTGCCATTTGCATGTCCACTCTTGGAGACCTCCCCCCTGGCAATAGGCAATAAAATATTAGTTTTTTTTGTTTGTTTAAATAATACAAAATAAAATTATTTGTAATTTCGGATAAGATTTTTTAAATCGTTCTCGTTGCGTCACGTGTCATTTTATAAAAAAACAAATATTTAGTGATGGATGATAGGAGCATATTTATGCGCCTTAGTTAGCTAGTTCTTATGCATTTTCGTTATGTTTTCTTAGTTAAAGTAGTCTCTTAAGCTATTTTCATGTGTTTTCAGGTTTTAAGGGCATAGTATAAAAAAAGATGCAAATTGGAGCTTTTTGGAGCAAAAGTGAGCTTGGATTGAATAGCACATGCTTGGAACAAAAGGTTTGGATGAAATTGAAGATTTGAAGATTTGAGGATTCCTAGTCCAAGAAGGAGTCCTAATTGAAGAAGGATTCCTAATCAACGAGGGATTCCTAATTTAAGAAGGATTCCTAATCAACAAGGGATTCCTAGTTGAAGATGGATTCCTAGAAGAATGAAGATTCCTACTCAAACAAGGTTTCCTACTTGAAGTAGGAAAGTTAAGCCTAAAAGTTGCTATTTTGGGTTGATCTTTCCTAAACCTAAATGGCCTTAAGTTTCAGCGACATTAAAAGGTTCTTAAGCGTTGGAAGACACAAAGAAAGGTTGGAGAGCATTTCCTTATCCTTGCCGTGGGTTAGGGTCTATTTCCTCTTAGTTTTGGGTTTCTAGAAGCCCTATCCTTTTTCCCCTAACCCTTGCCGCACTTCCCCCTTTCTAGAACCTGTTTTCTTGCCTTGCAAGGCTTTCTAGAAGCCTTATCCTACCCTATCCTTACTTGCCGCACCCCCTAGGCCTTTTTCCTTGTGAATTCTGATTTCTAAGCCTTTTTCCTTGTGGATTTGGGTTATCCAAGTCCATATCTGATTACCCTAGGGTTTTAAGTGCCTATATATACTCTTATTCACCTCTTGGCTGAATTACCACCCCTCATAATACATCATTCACGCCAGAAACATACATCCTCTCTTTGCCGCAGCCTTCCACCACCATACTCCATAATTCCTGCCAAAAACCACCCCTTGCCTCACCACCCATCCATCCTAAACACCACCATACATCCCCCATCCATTCCACACCATTCATAACCCCAAAAACTTGTCCAAAATCTCTGTGCCGCAGCAAGGAGGGAGGAGGAATCCTGGATGCACCTGCTGCCCAAGTTGGAGTATCTAGGTGTTCTTTTTCTTTGGATTTTAATGTTTAAATTTATGTATCTTTGCTTTGTGTGTATGAGGAACTAAACCCCTCTTGGCTAGGGGGGATTCGAAATCATGTTTATGCTTGCTATATGATTTGATTACTTCTAATTGCGTTTCATAAGTTGTGAATTCAATTTACTTATCTTTATGAATTAAAACTGATTTGTGTGTGTTGGTTGAGAGTGCACGCTTAATTTTCATGCATAAGTTTGATGCTAGGATATAAGGGAATTTCACCTAATCGTTATGAACTTATATTCGCAAGTAGTAAAGGTTGTTGATCACAATCGTGTTAAGTAAATTCTTGGCATAAGTTTCATGCAATTCATAGTAACAAGTGCCTAGCCAATGCTTATGATTTTCATAGAACTTAATGATCTTTGCTTGTATCTTTGTTATGCAATTCATGCAGGGAACTTGTGAGGAATGCTTTGGGTTGTCGTATGCAATTCATCCAATTCGATAACTTTAGGAAAATCTGAGGGTTAATTAGTGCAATTCATGGTTAATCTGGGGCGTTGGGAATTCATGGTTTAGTGAGAAGCAATTGGAAATCGTTTTGTATGCAAGTGTGACATGTGTGGAGGAGAACCCCTTAGCTAGCTTTCCATCCATTCACTTTAACCAAATTCGTTTTAAAATCTGTTTAGTTTACAAAGTTTTTGTTTGTTTTCAATTTTCGTCAAAACCAATTCCCCATTTATTTTAAAGTGTTAGATTAGTTAGAAATCAATTTAGTTTGTGTTTTTAAGTGTCTTGAGTCAAGTTATAACCTATTTTCGTCCAAATTGTGTTTTGTGTTCAAAACTGCCCAGAAAGTGTTTTTAAGGCAGTTTTGAGTGTTTCTGGGCTGTTTTGAGTCTTTTGGTTTGTTTTAGTGTTTTAGAGTTTAGTTTTGCATTCTTTGAGTCTAGTTTAGTGTTT